TACGCTTGCGACCGCAGCACAAAATGGACCAGACTGGAAACCATCACTCTCCGAATGTAGCTCACGAGGTGTTATGCCAAAATATGATTGCCAGTAAAGGAAGGTATACCGACATCAGGATTGCGGATGCCCTCTTCCGACTTCCAAGACCCTGCATTTCTAATGCAATCCTTCTGTGGAGGTCCTGCTGACAAGGATCCACTGGTTCGTCAAGATTGATCAAGATACTTCAGCATATCAAATTGACCAATCGACAACTCATGTACCACTCCTACACTTGTTCCTTGGACTCCTCAGACGAGCTTTGGCCGTCGATTCGAATACGGATGATCCAACCCATCTATCTGTAAGTATTCAGGGTTCGCTAATAAGACGGTCATCATCATTCGTTGGGATGAACATTGATGACTTTCGATATTCCTTCTAGCCTCAATGGCCCCATCCCAACATTCTGATTGTCATCTGTATGGCCATGTTCTAGGATCGAAGCTTACATTGCAAGGATTATATCAGGTTGGAAGCCGTCGTTCATGTGGAGTGGTGATTAGGCCAAGATGAACCTGAACAGCTGCATTGTTTGTGATAGGACAGATTGCCGTGCTCTTGTCGAACTGCCAAGTTTGATACCAAAGAGTCAGGGATAGATCATTGCAGGCCGTCAAGATACCGTTGGCTGCTAAACACTCGCCGCAGGGCGTGTCTTCCTGGCCAAAGTTCTCCTTGTCGAAGGAAGCACCATTTCCCAAAGCGTTACATCAGAATTCTGGTGATCTGTGCATAGCCCGTGTTGGTCATCTTGAGGGCTGCGAAGCTGCAGGAGCAGGACTCATTTCTGCGTTCATCTGAGCATGGATACATGGGAATCTGCGCTATGAGGGATAGATTGAGTTGCAGTGGATTTCAGGCTCAAGACATAAATTGGGCCTCCTCGAGGGAATTTTCGCCAGCATCAGAACAACAAGCAACAAAATAATCATACTTCTCTTCGTGTATCGCAGTCTCGACAAACCTTGACAAAATGGTTCGAATTAGTCTTTTTGGGACCCCTCTGTCTCCCCTAGTTGTCCTTGGCCTTGCAACTTGCGCAGTTGCTGTTGTGGATAAGTGGACCCCAGAGAGCTTCAACTGGAGTGCCCTGGACCCAGGCCCACGGGAAAACTGGAAGGGTCTCTATCTGAACCATAATGGCACCGCGGAACACATCCAGGAACTAGCAATGACCACCGGCGCCGAAGTGAGAACGACGGACGACGTTGCTCTAGTAGTGGCTCCTTGGGCCATCGGTCTAGCATGGCATGCCTTCAACCTCGTTCTCACCGGTGCTGGCCTGGCAAGCACCATCAATACCTGCGTTCAAAACGAGGGCCAAGCCGACAATATCTTCTACTGCATCACTGGACTCCTCAGCACCATCATTGGTGTGGGTGGTGAGGTGTCCGCAGCCAAGAAGTTCGCTGAGTCGAAAGGGTACTTGGGGGTCGCCGCAAATGCCTGGCTGCAGTCCGGTCTCGAACAGATTGACCTGCAAACCTTTTCGCGAGACCTGGACAGCCTGCCCGCGAGAAACATGACTTCACAAAAGGCCCACAACCACTTCGTTCATAACGCTTTGCGCAGCCTGTCAACAGACGAAGTGGACTTCGTCGGGTACGCACCCGACTCTCATAAGTTGGCCCGCCGTGACTCCAGTGTTCATCCCTTTGCGCCAATGTTCCGTTTTAACCACCACAAATATGGCCCAATGGAGCTCACTTCTCGTGATACCGGCGAAGGTGGTGTGCACTTTACCATCTCGTACGCAGGCCATCCCACCCACCATGCGACCCAGGAGAAACGTGACGAGTTCTACAAGCATGAGCGCCTTAACGAGCATTTGATGGAGGGTCGGTTTGATTCTGATGCCTCTAGCGCCGACCCGGGCGATATCACTTTCAATGGAGCCGATGCCTTTGGCCAAATCGAAAGCCAGGTTGAGTGTTTTGCAGGTACAAAGTGGAATGAGGGCAACGTGCTGTCCGTCCAGATGTATGACCAGGCCAACCATGCGACTTTCGGGTTTGCTTCTATTGGGATTTTCCCGGACAACAGTGTGGATTCTGGACTTCAAGGCTTTGAGCCTCAGGGAATGCCTTTGACTGGCGGTCAGAATTGTTGAATTCGGTGCTCCATTGGAGGCGTACTGTTCTAGAGGAATGATTCATTGGAGATTCGAGTTTTGTAGAACTGGTGGAGGATTAGTCAAATTGGGCAGTTGAAGATAGGAACATGATAGCGTCAAATATATATATAACCGGTGAACGGAGATTGCCTAGTGAAGGAGCAGTTTATGGCACTGAAATTTCGTATGCCTTTCATGTCAAATGTAGCTAAGATATAATACCAGGAAGGAGAAGATAGGTCCGAGAGAGTTGGCAAGTAACGAGGCTGGAGATGATTCCACCTAATGTATATACCTATCCTGTTAAGCGGGACATCATCAACGTAGATCGAAGATACTGAAATACCTAATCAGAATCTATCTTAATCACCAAATAGAGTATTGAGAAGAAATTAAACAGGTGGTAGTTCAAGCTGCTGGGGTTCCTGTTTGGCGAGGAACTTGAAGATTCAAGGTTCCAATGTAGAAACATAGATCGAGTAAACACACGAAAGCGCCCGACACCTCAGGCACCAACCCTCTCCGCGGACATCTCCGCCATTCCAATCAGGTAGCTCAATGCCCACCTGCTTGATTGTTTGTCGCCGATCTCCATCTCCAATCAAGTCAACCCTCAATATCACCACCACACCTCTCCAAGCTGCCCCTTCCTTCCTCACACGAACAAAATGACCTCTCTCAACCCAGATCAAATCAAAACTCTCGAACAATCCCGCCAACGACTCATCCAACTCACCCATTCCCTTGCCTCCCTCATAACCAGTCTCAATCAAAGCGATCCTCTCCCCTCATGGTATACACCCCTCCCCAATGCTGCCTCAATATAACCTGGCTAGACCAAATCCACTAATATAATGCTATGAACAGGACATCCCTTCAATCCCAAGCAACCATCATTTCCAACAACCTCCTCACCATCTCCGACCATCTCTCCGATAATCGCGACCTCCTATCCAACATCGTCGCCTACCCCGACGCATCCTACCCGTCGCGCGTCCCCGCCAACAATGTCGCTCTGGAGCAAGTTCTGCGCACGAAACTAGACCCCCGCGTTGAGGACTGGGTAGCGCGTGGCCGTCGCGCCGGGGCGCCTACTACTTCTTCTGATACTGGGGCTGGAGCGCTGGGACAATACCAGACCAACAGTGGACAAGGGTTGCTGAGTGATGATGCGATTGCTGAATTGTGGGATTGGGCGCCTGTCGCGGCGAATGAGGAGGCCAGGAAGAGGAATTGGGGTGGGAACTATACGTTGGAGGAGCGGGAGATGGGGATTGAGAAGGTGGTCACGGGGTTGAGCAGGGTGTTGGAGGATGATGATGAGGATGAGAGTGATAGTGAAGAGGGTGAGGGCGAGGCAGATGAGATGGAGGTTGTCGGGGTGAGGAGGAGGTCTGGGGCTGGAACTGGGTTGGAGTTTGATATTGCTGCTGCGAATACTGGGTCTGGGGCTAATGCTGGTGCGGGGGCTAAGATGGTTGCGCCGGTGGTACCGTTGGATGAGATTTTGAGGTTTATGACTACGGGGGCTGTGCCGGGACAGCGGTGATGTCTAATACGTTGCAATGCTTGTAGCAGGGGAAAAATGATTAAAGATTTCTATAAGAGAATTGGTGCAAAGTAACCAAAAAGGCGACTAGCCCCGGCGTCGAGTAGTCGGCGTCTTGCCTGAAGGCTTGGGCGACACACCCGAGCTGGTGGCGGTGACTGGCGCCTTCGCAGGAGTGGGCGCTGCAACGGGCTTCTCCTTCTTCTGGGACTTGGCCGGGCTGTTCCAGTAGTACAGCATCTGGCCGGCCAGGATGAGGTTGAGAGTAAAGCCGGCGATAAAGCCGTACAGAATCAACTTGTCGTCGACCTCCTGGATGGTGGTGAAGATGCGAGAGAGGGAACCGGCGAGGTAGTTGAAGACCTGACCATGCGTTAGTAAACGATCACCGACAAGCAACGAGGTGCACTTACTGCAAAAGCACTCAGCTGGCCAGTGCCACCTTCACGCCAGATGGTATAGATTTGAGGCGCCTTGCTCGCCACACCCAAAGCTCCAGCTCCAGCCTGCAGCATAGACATTGTCTGCGCATCCACCAGAGTCTGATCAAAGAGCAGTGCATACACGCTGGCTGCCACGACGGCAATGAACGCCGCCGCAGCGGCAGACCGGCCCGCAAATGTCAACACCAGCACACCCACTACCACATCTTGTACCGCAATCAAAGCCGTCTCACCAAAGGTGCTGAAGGGGAACTGGTTGCGCACGCTGTACGAAAGCGTAATCAAAAGACTGGCGGTCTCGAGGGCGTAGGAAACGAAGGAAACACCGGCAGATGAGCGGGAGCTGATGAGCTTGAGGATCTGGGGCACCTTGACGATGCCGCTAGCTCCGACGATGGCAATACCGAGAGCCTTCGAGATTGCAAGGGAGGTGCAGGCGGGATCCTTGCTCACGTCAAGATCGACCACGAGGCTGTTGTGGCAGGAGGAGCCGATCAGCGAAACGATCGCATCGTGAACCGGTTCGGGGAGAGCCGAAACGACGGGGCGGAGGAGAGGTTGGAGGGGATCGATGACGGTTTTCTGGATCGCGTCCATGTTGACTGGAGATAGGGACCGTGGGATTGAAGCAAGAGGTCCGTCGAAGTCAGCGGGGAGGTGGTTGTGTAGAAAAGAAGCGGACGACGCAAGGACAACAAAAAAAGACCAACAAAGAACCAACGCATCTCCGGAATTGCGGGTTTGGTCGCTCCCGTCCACCGCGGCTTTTCTTCGTCTTGCGGCTTGAGCTTCAACTTCCGCTGCTTGGATACGGATTCTTGGTCGACAAGTACCACAGCAGGACTCCGCCATGAGTCTCCTTCGCTCCTCGTTGCGGAGGATAGGGTCGCCAGGCGATCCTAGCAGGATATGCTCTCAATGTCTTCTACATCGAAATCGGACCCCTCGAACCTTCCCCGCCGCCCTCCGCACCTTCACCTCGTCCTTTCGATCCCACTCGGGCATTGCAGACGGCCATTCCGCCCAGTCGGCTCTGAATAAGACTTATTTCTCGGCCAATCGCGCAGAAGACGACACTCCGAGCAAAAGTGACATTGTATCTTCGCTTTCCGGCGGCAATGTTTCCTCCAGCGCGACATCCTCCACACTCCCATCAGACCACCGCGTCGATGCCTCTACGTCTGCCCCCGACTCCACACAACCAGAGCTCCCTCATCGCCGGAGGAAGCGTTTAAAGGAAGAAGCGAATGCCCAAGCCGCCGATCCTGAACATGTCATTCCCCCCGATGCCTCCGCACAGCTATCCGCCTTCTCTTCCGCTCAGCCCACCTCTTCCCTCCGCCGTAAGATGGCGGCTTTCCTCGCCCTCTGCAAGCCTCGTCTCTCCGTCCTCATCGTGCTGAGCACGACCTCCGCCTATGGCCTGTATCCGATCTCGTCTCTCCTTACGCTTGACCCGGCCATGACCCCGTTACCGACCCTCTCCACCTCAACCCTAACCTTCCTCTACCTGACGGCGGGCACCTTCCTCTCCAGCTGCAGCGCCAACACCATCAACATGTTCCTGGAGCCAAAGTACGATGCTCTCATGTCGCGCACCCGCAACCGGCCTCTCGTTCGCGGCCTCCTTTCCCGCCGTGCTGCCGCACTCTTCGCTCTCGCGACAGCCCTCACCGGTGTAGGTATGCTCTACTTCGGCACCAACCCCACCGTCGCGGCCCTCTCAGCCAGCAACATCATCCTATATGGCTTCATCTACACCCCGCTCAAGCGTATTCACGTTATCAACACATGGGTCGGCGCCATTGTAGGCGGTATTCCCCCGTTGATGGGCTGGGTCGCTGCTGCCGGCCAGACCGCTACCACGGGCCACGATACCTGGCGCGACATGCTCTTCAGCCAAGACAGCATTGGTGGTTGGCTGCTGGGCGGTATCCTGTTTGCCTGGCAATTCCCCCACTTCAACGCCTTGTCTCATACCATCCGCGAGGAGTACAAGCGCGCCGGCTACAAGATGCTCTGCTGGAAGAACCCCGCAATGAACGCCCGCGTCGCGCTGCGCTATTCCGTTCTCATGTTCCCCATTTCCATTGGCCTCTGGTGGGTTGGAGTCGTCGGCCACGGATTCTTGGTTAGCAGTTCAGTCGCAAATGCGTGGTTGGTGAAGGAGGCGTACCATTTCTGGAAGCACCAGGGCGCCAACGGCACGGCGAGAGGTCTCTTCTGGGCCAGTATCTGGCAGCTCCCAGTTCTACTGGTGGGTGGTCTCGTCACCAAGAAGGGCCTTTGGGATGGTGTATGGCGTCAGATTTTCGGACAGCCGGATGAGCTAGAGGATGAGTATGTGTATGTTGATGAGGAAGAGGAAGGTACTGGTGCTGCTATGGCTGCCTCGCGCTCCAAGTCAGTGGCGACTCGTGCGGTATGACCGACTTTCTGTTTGGACCGAAATCAAATGAATGAGAAAGAGAAAAAAAAAATATAGAAAAAGAGGGAGGCTATAGCGAACTTCCTATCACTCACCATTGATTTCTATATATTTCATGGATGTATTAGATTCCCGTTTTGGTCGGCGTTTTGTATAACAGCAACTACTTTGAATTACTTTTTCCGAACTCCATCTGTTTATGCTCTGCTTTTCTCCTTATTATTTTCCATCACCCCTGTCTTTATCTGAAAGACACATTTGCTGTTGTATGTCAGGCCGTGGTGATCACCAATCGAGACCTCTGGATTCTAGGGAACATAATAGATACAGAGAGTGAAGAACCGTTAATCTATCTATCATACAAGAGTTATCTATAAAATACATACATACACCAATACATTACCACAACATCACTTCAACTTGATATTATACAACCTCGCCACCTCCTCACTAATCTTACCAGGCGCCTTGACCATGGCATCTTCGCCCTTCTTTCCGATCTTCGGGAATGCAATGACATCCCTGACCGACTCCTTGCCCAACATGACAGTGATGAGTCGATCGAAGCCGAGCGCGAACCCAGCGTGCGGGGGACAGCCAGCCCACAGGGCATTAAGGAGATGCTGGAACTCGTCGATGCGCTCCTTGGGCATCTTGAGAATTTCCTTAAAGATGTAGTTCTGGGTCAAGGCGCAATGGATACGGCGACTGCCGCCGCCGAGTTCGACGCCGTTGACAACGAGGTCGTAGTGGTCTGCGAGGGCTTTAGTGGGGTCCTTGCTAAGGAGGTCGACGTCCGAAGAGGTCTTCGGGGCCGTGAAGGGGTGGTGAGTGGCGGAGAGGCCGGCAGTACCGCCTTGCCCGGGTTCAGAGGCATCCGTAGGGCTGAAAAGAGGGAAATCGACTATCCAGAGGAACTCGAAGCCCGGGGGCGCTTCTCTGAGATCCTCGGCGATGGAGGCGGCGGCCATGGCGCGACGGATGCTGCCAAGTTGGGTTGCGCCGCCTGCGAAAGGGGCTTGTGGACGAGCTTGAAGAATGAGCAGATCGCCGTGACTGAGATCTAGCATCTCTTGGATCTTTTCGGCTGCTTCGAATCCGAGGGGTCCGAGGCCCTTCAGGGGCTGTCCTTCGTCGTAGATGAAGATTCCTGGTGCACCATCAGGGTTCTTGTTGAATGGCTCGCCCTCGGTGGATTCGAAGAAACGTGAAACGAATTCGCGAGTTGCTGACGGTAGCTGCTCGACGGTATCCATCTTGAATGCTTCAATGATTGGATCGGTCAGAGGAGTGATCTTCGACACAAGGTCGGCAGGCAGGAGGTGCTCGACACGATGAATCTCCATTCCATGTCGCGTATCCGGCTTGTCTGAACCATACCGAGTCATTGCCTCCTGGTAGGTCATGCGACGAAATGGGCCTGAAGGGACCGGTTCAGGCATCATGTTTCCCCACAGGCCCCGGATAAGTTCCTCAACAACGGCCATGACATCTTGTCCAGCAGCGAATGCCATTTCCAGATCCAGCTAAGATTTTCAGTCAGTAGGCGACTTGTGTAGTTTCATTGGGACCATACCTGAGTAAACTCCGGCTGTCTATCGGCGCGGAGGTCTTCGTCACGGAAGCAGCGCGCGAATTGAAAGTATCTTGGGATTCCACTGGCCATGAGAATCTGCTTGTATTGCTGCGGACTCTGAGGAAGAGCGTAGGCCTTTCCCTTCTTCCTGGTCGGCACAATGAACTCACGAGCACCCTCCGGGGTCGACTTGAACAGCAAAGGTGTCTCTATCTCAACAAAGGCTGGCTTCAACTGTTCCAGCGTCTCCCGACAGACATTGCGCGCTTGCGCACGAAACCGGAGAGCATCGCGCAGCTCTTTATCGCTTCTCAGTTGAAGGTGGCGATGCTTAGGAGGGTGAACGATGTTCTTTCCGAATAGCACGATCTCACGGGGAAATTCGTTTAGGGGTTGAATAGATTCCAGCGCGATCTCCAAATAATCGTTGCGCTCCTCTTCCGCAGTCTTTGTAACCCTCCGTTTAACTGTTCCTTGAACAACCACTGGACTACCCCGACTAATCTTCTTCAGCTGAGGCAGGGTGTTGCTTTGTGAGTTTGAGAGAAGCTGTATGGTACGACCCATTGTGTGATCATAGAAGCGGGCGAACGAGAGCTCCTTCCCCATGTCGTCGCGCTTGTCCAGGTAGCCATGGAGGAGTACGGATTGACCTTCGTGATCACCAGAGTACAGAGTGTCGATGTCCAAGGGCGTTTGGGGGAATTCCACTTTGAAGACGGGATGTTAGCATTTCCCGATTGCAACTTGCATGTTTGAGCTGGAAATGCTGGAGGGTGTGCATTGGTCGGCAGGGTGACGAACTCGACTGCTTGAACTTATCTAGGAACTCCGACGAGGTCACATTGGAGCGGTGCTTTTCACTGAATTCATGGAATGATCGTACGGGGGAGCTGTGAGCTTGCAATGCTGAAAGGCGACCAAGTTGCCTGCCGCGGAAGTAGTTGGAGATCTCCACGTAGGTCGCGCGGAGGTGAGGGGGGCATCGGACCGCCCTGGCTAGATACATCTTGCTGCGCAAACCAGCCCGAAAATCAAGAAGGACGCAGAAGAGGACAGTCACAAATATTCCAATTGTCCTGGGGCGGGGATGCAATGGCACGATGCATTCGAATGGCCGAGTAACTAATCGGGCAATTGGGAAATTGCCAGGCACCGCCGGGCGGAGATCCTGGGCAAAATATGGTACGCCGCCTTCTATGACGGGTCTAGCGCCCTCCACACTGCCAATTAAAAGCAAAATTTCCGACGCCGTCATTTCTTTTCTCTTCATCCTTCCAAGTTTTGTAAAAGTGAGTGCTACCTTTGACCTTGGACTACCAATTCGCCTTTTACTAACGTGATGCTGCAGATGATGAAAGCCTAGTGTGTTCTATATGAACCCATCTCTCTTCCTGGAGCCCTTCTGGCTCTCCTTTCGGGGCTAAAGGGCTGATGGGTTCTGGTTGAGAGTGGGATGAAATAGGCGTTCGGCACACCAACCTTGTTACTTAACGGACGCGATTAAGGCATCTCTGATTCACACATTACTTGGTGGTGTTATACCTGGGGGAGCGGCGGTGCTTTATGACCCTTATTGGTGCTGATGGCGCCTATGATTGGGCTCTACTGCATCGTCCCAGGCCATGTTTAGTTACAGAACAAATAAATTCAAAAATGTCTTTTCAATAATCTATGCTTGATAGTAGCCTTGTTATCTGCAAGCTAGCTTACATGTCTATGTTGCTGTAGTAGATGCATCATGCTCGGTCATACAAATGGCAGAACAATATGCGAAGAATGTTCACCTCCTAAGTGAAGCACGTGTGTTCCATGGGATGCCAGTTCCTGGAATTCCCCATCTTCTTTGAACTCTCCCCGCAGCAATGGACTGTTCCCATGCACTTCGACGCGTACACTTTCCCCTGCCTCATACTCCACTCCCATTGCCCATATGCCGATCTCGAGCTTCACAATGTCTCCAGGAGTGATGTACTCGTCGCGGTCATGTGGGTGAAAGGGGAAGTTCTCATGAATTGACCTGGTCGGATCAATGGCTCGACGTGAAGCCCGCAAGATCCCCAAGGACCCGACATGGAACATGAGATTGTTCTTCTCCCGAGGAGAAATGCTGTCAACACTGTCTGGGCTGACACCAAATTTCGCTATTGATGACCACGGAATGTTAAGGTTGAGCAGAGCCTTTCCTTGCGCGTCAAGCTTCCTGATCAAAACATATACGTCGAGGTCATGAAAGTCTGGGCACGACATGTACACCACTGCTTTGGGAATACCCGCTAACCTCGTTCGACTGGTGAAAGTGTGGGTGAAGCTCGCACAGTCTTGGTATTTCTCTGAGTTGTATGACACCGATGAAGCCGTGCTGGGAGCGTCGTGGCTGAGATGGCCTTCTGGGTGAAAGTACATCTTGCGATACTCGGTGCGTGGAATCGGGTAGTCCTCCTCTGCGATGTTGTATAGCGGATCTTTATTGAATCGCAACATGGTAGTCCGTACCCTGGGTGTTTTCTCCCATCCATTGTCGGTGCCATTCAGATAGCGATCGAAAAAGGACGCAAGCTCAGAAGCCGATTCCTTGCAATTCCAGATATCGTACCACTCCTGCCATGGACAAAGTCGCAGCCATTTATCGGACGACTGAGTCTGGAGCCATCCGCGCAGTGATCCCATCGTGTGCACGAAACTGGTGTGTGAGGCTGTAATATAAGCGGGTATGCTGATCTTGCTGAGGTCTGGTCGTTTATCTTTCCAGTATGCGCTGTTCGCATATGGATATCGGCGATACATCTCGTGAAAGTCTTCCACACCCCGGTGACCCTGGATGTTATGATCGATGATGAAATCAAACAAGCCAGCATCGAAGACGCCACCCCGTACGAATTGCTCTCGATAGAGGTCACCACAGGCCTCCCAAGGAGCAATGGCTTTTAGTGATGGCGGCTGCAACGCAGCGATGAACCACTGAACGATGGCCAAGTGTGAGTTTCCTGCCAGGCCAACATTTCCATTGCACCAGGGCATCTTAGCCACAGCCTCGATCACGTCGTAACCGTCCTCGGCTTCCTGGGTGCCCATGATGCCAACTGTGCCATCTGAATCGCCAGACCCACGGGCGTCCACGTTGATGATTGCGAAGCCGCGAGGCACGAACTCAGCTGGATCAGGGCCCTCGAATTTCTCCAAGCCGCTGAGTACGCCTTGAGGGATCCCTAGACCCCAGGGGAGGAACTTCAGCATGCTAATTCCATTGAACTTCTTCCCAAAAGGGCTCCATGCTAAGATGGCGGGCACAGGCTTGGTGGTGTCTGTAGGACGATAGATGTCGCAATATAATGTGCTGCCATCGCGAACCTGGATACCCACGTCGTGAGACGTATGGATGTCGCATGGCAAAGGACGTGAGCCATCTTTGTTCCAACCCTTGGGTAGGACTTCTTCACGAAACCCAAACGGCTGATAGTTGTTTCTGCCCACGGTGGGCTTGTCAATTGGACGAGTCGCGACAGGTACCGGAGAAGGCATATTGAAAAGTAGTGATCGCAGTGTAGACGACAATGGCAGAGTTTCCGAGCTCCTTATGAACAATGCCACGCGCCCACCACTATGTGTCCTTTACTGAGTTCTAAGCGTGAATTTACAAATCATTATCAGCTTTTGCTTTTCTCTCAGATTGTCGGGTTGTGGACATGGCGCGTTGTCGGGTCTCCTGTTGCGGCTATACTCCCAGCACGGCCGAGCTCGGGCGAGTTTGCATGTTCGTTTCGAACCTGCTGACCATTCGGCAATCCATGAGTTCGGCTACAGTTACTCGGTCATGGGAGTGGCGTTTTAAATCTCGGATGAGGATGGGCTCGGCCGTGTGTAAGGGATCAGTTCGGGTCATTTAACCTGGCTGGAGATCCAGTTGGAGGATAAAAGCGCGCAAAAGCTCCTCTGGCCGCCGAAGCCCTCGACGTCACCGAAACTGTTCAATCTCAAAGTACGGTTTCTTTCTTCCTTCCGAGGAGTCTATACTTCATATCTCAAAGTCAGCAAATTGCGAGTTAAAGAGCTTTAAACATGGCACCCTCTCGTGTCGACTCTCCGGAGCCCATCCCATCCCCTGCCCCGGGAAAGCTTCAGTCCATCCAGACACAGCAGCCTCACTATGGTGACTTTCGTGATGACTTCTTTCGTGATGGTTACGCTGTTATCAAAGGCGTGCTGAGCAAAGAACGCGCTAGCGAATACCAGAGCGAAGCCCTGGCCTGGCTTGAATCATTCGGCCTTGGCTTTGACCGCAACGACAAGTCCACCTGGAAGAAGGAAAACCTCCCACAGAGCTGGAAGGGTGGCATGTATTTGCACTTCTCAGCTGCGCACGAGAAATATGTCTGGGATGTCCGATGGTCAGTCGCCTCTCTCATTCCTCTTCTTGGTAGGGATCCATCTGGCTAAACGACAACTACAGTGAGCCTGGCGTGATTGCTCCCTTCGCTAAGCTTTGGGGTACCGATGAACTCGTTGTGTCCTTCGACACGGTGAACATTACTCTCCCTCAATCTATCGTAGGCACCTACGACTCCCAGCCCTGGCCACACTGCGACCAAGCGCCCGAGCGCAAAGGTCTGGTCTGTGTTCAGGGCATCGTCAACCTCTCCAACGCAGGCCCCGACGACGGTGGACTCATCGTAATGAAGGGTTCTGCAGCGCTCTTTGACCAATTCTTCGAAGAGAACCCCGTTACTGGTCCCACCCCCTGGCGCACCGCCAAACATAAGGATTTCCACCCCTTCTCTGACAAGGATCTGGACTGGTACCGCGAGCGTGGATGCGAATTGATCAAGGTCTGCGCTGAACCTGGAGACTTGATTCTCTGGGACTCGAGACAGATGCACTGGGCTCAGTTCGGGACCTCGGATCTGGTGCGCACTATTGTCTATGCTACGTATACGCCGGCGGCATGGATGAGCGAGGAGGATCGAGAGAAGAAGAAGGAATTATTCGAGGCGTATGAAACAACTACACACTGGCCGCACACGAATCTGTATACACATGGGAAGGCGACAGTGAAGGTAGATGGTGAAGAGGTTGTGGATCCGTTGGAGAGGGACGAACCTCTTACCAAGCCGGTGAGAAGTGAGAGATTGTTGCAGTTGGCAGGTGTGAAGCCATACTAGCAGCTTGTAGCATTATTTATCTTACAATTTCACTCCTTTTGTTATGACTGCACTATGATCATATCGTAAGCCATCGGATGCGAAACAAGTGTCCAGTTTGCAGAACACTGCATATACACCCAGCTGTAGCACCACACAAACCTCTCCACGACCTTGAACAACCCACATCCAACCCATCAATTACACCTAACACCTACCTGGGAGCTATCAATGTGATTAGTTTTCGCAATTCGGTTACGGCAACATCGTCCATTGCCGCCGTGCGGCACGCGCACCTCCGCCCGGGTGAGCTCGGGCGAGATTCTCCCATCTCGCTGGTTCCCTCACTTCTTCACCATCATCTTCCATCAAAACATACTTTCGGCTCCACGTTTTCACGCCAACTCCACGCTCGGACACGATGTGGCTAATGAACTAGACTCCATTACGAAGACAAGTTTTACCCCATGGGGTACTCGATAGCGTCAGGATGGACAGCATATCAAGGCCGGAAGGAAGCGGTCCTTAGTCCATTCCTCCCTGGTCTTTCATTGATAAACTGTGGTAGGACACAGCTTCTACACGCACAAGACACATGTCTGCACATAGCAATATGGATGACAAGGACATTGACGCAACGCACCATGAACTTGCTATGGATAAATCCCTAAAGCGTCATGGCAAAGGCAGTAACCCAACCGGCACAGTGAAGCTAGTCGAGGATGGGGAAATAGTGTTGATTCCGACGCCGTCTCCAGATCCAAGAGGTTCGACTTTCTTCACAATCTTTTCTAAAAAATCAGATAATTGACGAAGAGTGGAACAGACCCCTTGAACTACCCTCAATGGCAAAAATGGGTGATCACGTTCGTGCTGGGATTATGTACGCCTCTGTTCCTCATCTCTCACACAAACTAAGACACCATCTAACACAGTCATATCAGTTTCCGTCCTCGGCGTCTTGATGACCTCGGGAATGGGCCCCTTCGTCACTTTAATGCAATCCTACTACGACTACAACCCCCACACCGAGGATCTAATGACCTACCCAACCCTCTTCATGGGGATCGGTAATGTCATCGCTATGCCACTCGCCATGGCAATCGGCAGACGCCCAGTATTCCTGGCATCTGCATTGGTTCTAACCGTGGGATCAATCTGGTGTGCTGCGAGCACGAGTCTTGGATCGCATATAGCGGGCAGAGATGTGTTGTCATTGGCAGCAGGGCAGTCAGAGGCTTTATGTCCGCTTATTATCCAGGTACATCCCCATTACTAACTCCCAATACCCTGCACTTCACAAGCCGGAGACCCTAATCAAAGTTACCAGGAAATCCACTTCGTCCACGAACGCAGCAGCCGCCTCGCCTGGTTCAGCGCGATCCAATCCATCGGCACAGCCGCCCTCACCATCGCGACATCCTACCTAGTAAGCAGCCTCGGCTGGAGGTGGTGGTACGGGGTATTCGCCATCGCCAGCGGGCTAGTCTTTATCAGCGCATTCACCCTCGTCCCTGAATCCCGCTACGACCGACCCACCGACGCTTTCGAAGGGGAAGTGCACGTCCACCACGACGGCGAAGAACAAGTCATCGTTCACGCAACCACCAAAAACCGCGTTCCACTAGACTTCACCAACTACAAAGCACGCACCTGGAAGCATACTCTAGCCATCATGCACCCACCCGCGAACTGGAAAGAAGCCCTAACATGCTACAAGCAAATGGGCCAATGCATCCTCTTCCCCAACATCCTCTGGGTAGTCCTCATGAACAGCGTCTCCCTCGGAATCTACGTCATCGGAGTAACAGAGTACGCCTCTGTCCTCGGCGCCCCTCCATACAACTACCCAACAACAAGCCTAGGTCTAGTCCAGGGTGGACAAATCGTGGTCGCAATGATAATGGTTCCCGTGCTCGGCTACGGCGGCGACCAGCTATACAAATTGGTCGCAAGGCGTCGAGAGAACGGAACCGTTGAGTCTGAAGTTCGACTTATCCCTATGCTCTTGCCCATTATCGTCCTGCTTATCTCATGTGTAATCTTTGGCCGTGCTGCATCTCATCCGACGGAGTGGTCGCCGTGGGCAATCACCACTACCTTCAGCGGCTTATATTTTGCCTATATTGGAATCATCCTCAATGGGTATACGTATTCTCTGGACAGTTATGCGGAGCGGGCGGCGCCGATTCTGGTCCTGATTTGTGCCATCCGTGGGTTTATCTCGTTTGGGATTTCGTTTGGGGTTACGAAGTTTATCACAGAGCAGGGGTTTCAGGGTGCTTTTGATATTTGTGCAATTATTGCCGGTGTTGTGGCTGCGCTGGGGATCCCGATTTTCTTCTTTGGGTGGTGGATTAGGAGGGTTACGATGAAATATGCGGTTGATGGGAGGACTGCGGAGTTTTGATTAGGTTGTGTAGTATTGTTTTGTAAATGTTTGTTGGTCTGATCTGGCTATGTGATGTGACTTTGAGACTGGTGGCAGTATACATAAGCCCCGGTATAGTGGTGAAAGTAACGAGAGAATAAGTATATGGCACTTCTATTAGAGGGACACCTCACTTGGAAACGTCATTAGACACCCAGGGTCCAGCCAGGGGAGCGACATGTCAATGAACTCAGAAGAAAAGAGGTCATCTGCGAGTGGGAATTCGTCTCCTGCTTCACCGGCCATTGTCGCAAACCGGCTCAGAGTGTTCGGTAGTATATCTCCATATGTAGCGGGACTAGGATCCGCGCTTTGCATCTGCTCATCATTGTCCGATACCGACTTGGTCGCCTCTCCGGTCGACGACGGGTCCGCAAATAGAAACCTCAACGTGACCTCTGTATCGGGAAATGAAGCCCATAGTTTGGGAGAAGCGACAAGCTTCATGAGCCGGACGAACACCCTCTGGTCGATAACTTGTCTCAATCGTATAACGTCAGATAGCTCAACAAGGCGGCGCAGAACAACTAAGGCGTCGTGTCGTGTATCTGTGCATGTTCGCTCTAGGAGGTAGATGCCGAACAGAATCAATGCCTTTTCTTCAGCCACTTCAGCAGATGACCGGTGCTGGCGGAAACATATCAGATCCAGAGCCAGAAATATAGCAGCCGTGACAGTGGAGCATGTGGTTGCCCAGAACTTATGGAAATGGGGACATGGATCATGGTATCGCCGAGACAGAATGGCTTTCGCGCATGAAATACCGCTCTGCAGCACATCGTCTTCTGTAGTGGAGGTACTGCTGAGCAATTGGGGGATCACAGCGACGCACAGGTTTATGTGCCAGCAGTCTAAGCAATTGAAGATGAGGTAGCGTTGGACGTAGATCCATTCAGGTCCTTTTTTAATCTGAAGAATGGGTTCATCGGTCCCAGGGTAGGAGAGGTGGGGTG